TGTTTGTGTATGTTTTATGACTCTCAAAGCCATGATTCCCATCCACTGACATTATAGGACTGACAGTCTGCAACGGTTTGAGTTAAAAATCTCCGTTTGTGTTATACTGAAGAAACAAAGTCACCTAAATCTTGGATGCCCTGGGGGTAAGCAGAGAAACATCACATTTTCATTTTTGGGTGAACTATCCCTGAAAATGTTAAGTTTAACATTTTCAGTAGGGCTGTCGCGATAACCGCACATTCGCAATACCACGCTATTGACGAGCAAACCGCAGAGGAATGCAAGAACCGCAGCAACCGCGATATTTCCGTGTTTTATTTTTTCATAAGGTTATGCCCTTCTCGTTTTACACTTCATACATGTGGACTGAACATTAAACAAGTTAGTAATGATAACATAAGGTGTACCATGCTGATTTGTACAGAGGCTCCGTAGATTTGCACTTAACAAGCCTAAACAGACAGTGAATGAGAGAGAGAGTTTATGGCGGTAAAACCGCATACTATTGAGCCACTCAAAATTACCGCAAGGAAAATTCCCTCACCGCGACAGCCCTAATTTTCAGGTTTAACTAAAAAGATGAAATCCTTTAAAATGAGTTGAAAATGGCATCAGAAACCACAAAGAACAGAATAAAACCATGTCAAAATACATTAAATGTGATGGTATTAAACAGATTGAATTATTCTTGTTGTTTAAATACAATAAAATCAATCTAACTATGAATTCAATATCCTATTAACATAAATTATCCAACATTGTAAATCCCTAAAGTTGTTCCTATGTAAAATGCTTACATTTTAGATGCGGTTATGTTGTTGATAATGCACTTGTCATTATTAAAAACACACATGAACTACATCTTACATATAATACCTACATTGGCCATTAAGAACTGGGAATGCAAATAAACATGCAGCTTTCTACAGTTTAATACACAAAGCATTTTATTTATACAGTACATCCATGACTGAAGCAATTTTGCTGGCCATTTGTCAGTGAAAGTCTTCCAGAAACAGCCATTCGACTGAATTTATTCTAAAATGTCACAAGCACCATGAATACAGCAAAGCAATTCATAATCAACCCATGCTACACACAAGCTTCATTATAGCTGTGGTAGAAAATCAGGCTGAAGATCTGCTGTACTGATTATCAGCATTTAGGCCTATGTCCAGAACAAATCCTCTTATAAACATTCAAGCTACAAAGAGACCTTACCTAGACATAATATCCCTGAACAGTTCCCAGTGGATCCCGAGACCCAAATTTAGCACAAAATCAGCTCTGTCTAAATCTATGTCACATCCCGCCTGATCCAGATCTATGACAGCCAGCATTTCATCACATCTCCACTTTGAACTGCACATCAGCCGAGGTGTGGTGCTACTAACTAACACACAGACTAATAAATAACATTACCACAACAATCTAATTATCTGATAATGGTAAGGTTTATGGTTGCAATCGCAGCCTTTTAACTGCAGTTTCCTGCATAATCGTTAGGATAAGCAACTCTCATGACATGCAGACGAAGTAAACAGTCTGTTGCCAGGAGCTACAGACAGATTGGACTTAAAGCTGTCAATAGTTACTTGCTTAGGTGAACCCGAACACGGTGTGTGGGTGATGGGTTAAGCAGAAGAGTCTTCTTCAAAACGCTCAATATTAAACTCGCAATGTTCACAGATTGTGCTGTTAACATGATTTCTACCCAACTAAGTTTGGCTTGTTGATCACTATTCATCTTTGATCAGACTTGAGAAATTCCCTTGGAACTACAATAAAATGAGTGAAGAAAGTAAATTAAATGAATCGAAGCACAAACAGAATGTCATAGAGGCTGACAGATGGGTTCTTTTGACTTGGACAACCATCCAAAACACTGTAGAAACAACCCTGGCATCAACTTTGCATTGTGGTGGAAGGTTTTCTCAAGTCACCCCACTTACATTTTCTTCAGATTTCTTTACAGACACACTGTGAAATCTGTTGAGTTTGCTTAAATGTTTTCAAGGCTGTCTGAATCTGTTCTGCTTACTAACTTGTACGTGCATATCCTGTATACACAAAGAAACAGACATGAACGCAATTCAAATGAGTCACCATGAAGCTAAACCCTTTGACCTGTCATTTAGATGACTCCTCTCCATATAACTGCATGCTGCAACATTAATTCAGCAGAGCAGAGACCCCATCCTAACTATCAGTTACAACATCTTCCTCAAGTGCAACTAACCTTATTCTATTTCTGGTTGAGAGTCAAATTGCTCTCCCTCTCTCGACGGCACACATACACACACACCAATGTGTGGGTCATTGAGACGTTACCCAGGGGAAGAACAGATAATGAGCCTTTACTGTGGAGTTTATGATAATCTTAACGGGCTACTGCCCCCACCATAAAACCTATTAGAGCAAGAGGTTCAACTACTTCTGGCAGAATCAATAGAAAGTCGACTAGACTGGAAATAGATGATCTCAAACAAATATATACACTGAAAATGTCAAAATACGATTTCAGTGAACTCATGTACAGGCAATGAAAACAAATTAAATCGTTAAAGTTTACCATAAAAAAATAATTGGTAACAAGAAACAAAATTGAGGATTTATATTTTTAAACTGATGTAAAATTTCTGACTGATACTAATAAGCTGATAATGAATTTCATGTTACGGCTGATAAACGACTAATTTAAGCCATATTAAAATTTTACACTATTTTATGTAAATAAATAATAATAAAAACATTTAAAACTTAAAATTGATCTTTCTTTAAATACTGAAGTGAATCTAGGCATCATAACATTATTATGTACAGTATGAAAAAAATTTGACTTTTTTTGAGATTTAACAATGTTTTTATAAAAATGTTGTTCTTTAAAGATTAACTTTAAATCAGCAGTAGTTGATGGCAAAGGTAGTATAAATGAAAAAAAAAAACAGAAATGAGCATGCACAATTAAATATTCAATAGGCTACATTTAAACCATTAATGATAAAAAAAGGTACTTGTATATTGTAAATGCCATATTGGCCACTATATTTACATATTAAAACTCAATGAATTGTGTACTATAAAACACTTTGTAGTGACTGAAGAACACATGGCGATTGCATCTTGAAAACACGTCAACAGCAGGGGAGTGTGAACGGCGCACTACTTGTTTAAGTGTGACTGTGGCTGTTGGTGTAGGGCCACTGAGATCAGCCAGTTACAACCAACGGCTCTCCTGGTAGTGCGAGTCACTTTGGCCTGTGCGTCAATGCATGTGTGATGCACTCAGCCAGCGGGGTACCTATTAGGCTATTTGGACGAGCTTTTAAACCCTCTTTCTCAGAGATTTAGACATAACCATGAATGAAATTCCCAATTTTCATCAACTAAGCCTAGAGCTGACAAAATGTGGTCATGTAACAGTTGCATTGTGTGTAGATCTAGAAGGTTTTTACTGAGAAGCGCACGCTAATGCACATCATCATGAATTAACAGGTTGTCAGTTAAGAGGTTAATTGCCCATTTGCTAAAAGTACATTGGAATGCGCAGGGATTCCACAAAGTTCCCTGGCAGAGTCAAAAAAAAAAAAATTCCCTAGAAAACCACCTGGGAAAGTGAAAGGTAAGGCAAGTTCTAGGATGTATTTTCCATGTACTTAGTAACTCTGAAACATGAGTCACGGTGTCTATTATCACATTTAGGGTCAGTGATTTTCAAACTCACAGAGAGGTCTTGAAAGAAGTCTTTAAGTTGTCCAGAACAGCAAGACATCAGCATGTTATTTCAGCTCTCCCTGCAGGCTTGCTAAAACACACCCCGTTGTGCATCTGACTAGTTATCTGGTTACACAGCTGGAGAGCTTCCTTGTGTATAAACTGAAACTGCTTTGGTTTTCTAGTCTTTGTGACAATAAACACGACCGAGCCACTTCATTTGTGGTCAACTCAGAGAAATGGCATGCACGATAGAAATAGGGGTGATATAGCATAGTGGTTAAAGCTCCAAGCTATAAACTGAAAGGTTGTAGGTTCAAGCCCTCTATGGGGTGACTCGTCCTTTACATAAAAAATAATAAAAATTTCCATCAGAAATACCATAGTTACTACAGTCAAATGTGGTACCCCTGTCATAAAAAAAAAACTAAATGAGAGCAAGACTGAAAGTTCCAAATATTATATTGCAGCAGCAACTATGACATCATAGAAATTATGCTTCCCATGTTCATTTTTAAAGGATGGATTCAAACCTGAAGCGATGGAGTGATGAACTATTACCACTGTGCCATTCAGTAAGACAATTTATGTCAGGTGAAATCTAAGGCACCAAGTAAAAGCCTCAACAAAATGATGTACTATTCCATAAATAATAAGTTAAAACAAATCTGTCATAATAACATCATCCTGCCTTCAGGAAGTCTTATAAAGTCAGTCCTATTACCAAGATTTCTTGCAGTAAACAACAGATTATTGAAAGATGGAATCTTTCTAACAAACACCTTGTAGAGCCACTACCTTGAACAGAAGACTACTGACTAAATTAGCTATAAGGCTGTCAACTATCAAGCTCTTCAATACAGCAAAATCGTGGAATGACCCTTTGGACTTTTACAGCATAACTTCAGTTCAATTCCTGAAGCAGTAAACCGAATCGCATTTTACTTCTCCAACAATGTAACGGATTCAATTCCTTCGTGAAACGGACACTGTAATCTTTACAGCTTACACAAACACTTAAACGGTTTTTAAACGAGAACTAATGTAGGAAGTCTGTTGTTTGCGCACAACTGAAAGTTTGCTGAGGCGATTTTTACACAGAAAATAGTTTAAAACCGTAATATTATCTATACAAGCAACGCCAATCCCAATATCTGAGACTTTTATACATTTCCCCTTACTACGCCGAATCTCTGAGGTATTCCAACTCCTCGCGACACTGAATGTTTTGAAAACCTTGCTACTTCCAGCACTTGCAGGGTCGGTCAAACAAACAAACTCACCTCGTTTTTTTCGACTTGCTTTCTTTCTTGTTGAGAACTCCCGGGACACAGTTGGTGAGCTCGGTCCAGTCCGCGTGCAAGCCGCAACTCCAGCCGGTGGAGAACCGAGAGAACAGCCAGGTCTCCTTTCGGTTCGGACGGTAGCAAGTACACTTCTTCTGGCCCGGTCTACAATCACACGGAAGCTCCAGTCGAACATTTTGGACTAGATGCCTCCCGAAGGTGGTCCCGCCGGTCTTTTGGATGTGGAGAAACACAATCACGTCTTCCCCCTTGATTTCGAAATCTATGTTGCGCTCGAGATCTTTAATAGGGAAGTAGTACTTTTTCACATAGTGCGGATCCGGAGTGGGGAAAATGGTCATGTCCTCTTCGCCGAGAAGGTACCCGTGCGGGGAGCCGAAGTTTATCACCCCTGGCGCCACGTACTGGTACAAAATCAGCATGAAGAAGACCGATCCGACGACGATCAACAGAAATTTACTGGTCCTTTCAACCATGTTCCTTTCCGTGTCGTTCATTTGTAATCATTTCTCAGACAACAACAGTCTGTGGTGGCTTGCACCCTTCTCGTCTCTCCGTAGGCAGATCATCATAGGTCCACTTAAGAGTTCAGAATCTGGAGACGATGTGTGTTTGGATACATTATATCCACATTTTGCTCGGTCCTACCTGTCAAAAAATCCAGCTCGAATCCGTTCACGGGACCCTTACAGCAGATGAAGGTAGAGCAGTCCTCCAACCTCGAGTTGTTGAGTCTTCTGTGAAGCCACCCGTCAGAAAATACCTCCCTTGTCGCGCATAATTACTCTACACAGCGACACCCACTTCCCCCCTTTAAGTTAGTTCCGTGAGTCCACACAGGACCGATAGGGGGCGATACAGAAGAGTACGAGGCCTGACAATGGTATGTTGTAAAAGTTCTCCATATGAATAGTCAAACAGATATTTATATGGTATAGATAGCCTATACACACACACACACACACACACCGGTATAAATATTCTTAAAAAGAATATTTAAAAGCAGTACAAAGTACATCTAAAAGCATGCAGAGGCTGTAGTGATTGATGGACATGACTGATTTGTGACACAGGAAGGCTTTTTAACCACTGAGGCTTTCAAATTTAAGCCTAAGTGCAAGTAAAGCAATATATTTAGGTCTTAAATATTCCATTTCACAACCCACTATCAAGACAATAAGGCTTAGATGTAAGCTTATTTCATGTTATATGTGGCTGTCGTGACTGTGAATGAACCTGCATAGACCCTGTACAGTTCCAGAGTGATGTTCCATTAAAATCTGCTTTGCCTTCAATTTTCCCCATAGTCATTTACTCGTGTTCCAGCTCCATTTGTCAGTCTAAAATTTCAGTAGGAAGCCTGACCTCAGCCCCTTTTAGCTCAAACATTAATGATAATATGAGCTTAAAACACACATTTAGTGTCATACCCATTGGAAATTCCACATTTATGTCAGCTCGGCTGAAATGGATCGCTTGATCCCGGGCGTATTTGTTGATAATACATCTCTCTCATCACTTCAATGAAGCAATCAGCAATGTTTTTCTATGCGAGAGAGTCCATTAGCAAATAAATGAAAGTATATCATGCAGCGGAACCATCAAAGCGTTTTATATTGTTAAATCATGCATAAAAGAATATGATTTTTTTTTACGAACTAGCCAATTGTCAGCAGACATATACTCCAAGTTCATTAATGTTTATAGCAATTTGTTCTGTGCCAGTAGCACCACCAAACTACAGAAATACTACTACTACACTCTAAAAATGCTGGGTTAAATACAACCCAGTGCTGGGTAAAATAGGGACAAACCCACCAATGTTTAACCCAACCTTCTGGGTAGTAACCCAACCGCTGGGTCAAAACAACCCAATTGCTGGGTTTGTCCCTATTTTACCCAGCACTGGGTTGTATTTAACCCAGCATTTTTTTAGAGTGTACTACTACTACTACTAATAATAATTATTATTATTATTGTTATTAAAATAAACATGTTACAGCAATCTAATAAACAATTACAAGAAAATACCCAAAAAAAATCTCTAAAAGAGGGGATCACAAAATAAACATTGTTTTCCAAACAACTTCCCAATATGCTATTCATCAGCCATTTATTGAAAGCAGTGTTCATTTAGTATCATACTATATTTTTATATATAATGTTTTAATAAAAATTTTGAATTCATTTGTATTTTAGTATTTTCCATTTTATTTTTTAAATTAGTTTTTGCAATTTTTAAGTTGTTTTTTAATATTTCTTTATAGTCTTTATTCATTTTTATTTGAGTTTAAGTGTTAGTTATTTTAGTACATTAAGTCATCTTAAATGAAAATTAGTTATGTTGGGTGTAACTTTGGCAACTAGCCATAAAAAACATTTTTTTAATTATTGAATTTGTTTATTATTTAATATTATATCATCCAGGTGGATGCTGCACACTGGTGGTGGTTGAGGAGAGACCCCCCCCCCCCCCCCCCCCCGCGCTATATAAATGCATCATCCATCACTCATTTATGTACAAACATTCATTTTATTTCAACATTTTTTTCTGGTTTTAGTTATTTAAGTATAAGTTGGGTATCACTTTGGCAACTAGCTGAAATAAAATAAGTTTACATTTTTTTATGATCTTATTTCATTTAATGTTTATTTTAATTCAAGTGACAATTTTTTTTATTATGGTTTTAGGTTTAGTTAACTAAAATAACAAAAAAAGAACAGATAGCCATGCCCCCGACTCACACCATTGGTCAACTCGGTTTTGTTATATACAAACTGACAGGTTGCTCAGTACAGGAATCAGTGTCACAAAGACAACAATTATAGTTTTCAAGAAAATTAACCAATAAATGTTTTATATATAGTAGACTCTGCATATTAAGTTGGGATAGGAGAAATTTTTTTTTTTTTAACCGAAAAAGTGACATACTTCAGCTTTAAATCTAAAACAATAATAATAAATTAAATAATACACATAGTGTGTGTATTGCCAAATTATCCATGACAATGAAATGGTGTAAGTATCTTGAATCATTTTTGATAGAGATGAGGCAATTATATTTATATACATTTTACATAAGCTACAATATACATAGGACAAGCGGTTTGGAGAGTGAATAGATGGCCATATGAAAAGCACTTACTCTATTCACATGACGTATAGGAAGTCATTGTCCACAGTAACCTGATTTGTGAATACGGCCTGTATCCTGAAAGATGATGACTAATATTGATTGTGCAAACTACATTCATCTTCAGTCTTCAGAAAGAATATAGTGGTTAATTGAGTTTCCATTATAGGCGACTGATGTCCAGTGACTTGAGCTCATCTGGAATGCTGTAAAGTGAAGATTATATTCCCTTTTTTTCTTCCCCTTTCAATATAGGTCTTTCATAACACCACCCGACAAAGATATTACTGTAGGTGTAGTTCAGGGATGTCTATTCTACAGGTAACTCTTTTAATTCAACAAAACCCAGTGATCATCTGTGCATGAGAGTTTAGGAGCTTGTTTAATTAAATATTTTTTTAAGAAGGACCTGAGATTGACAATTGCCGTTGTTGGTGTAATTCATCACGTCTGACTTGGCCTTGCTCAGAACATTGTCTGAGTGTCCCTGGCTTTAACCTTAGTTGTTTGCCTTTAGGGGGTGAAAGCATTGAAGCAAGAAAGTGGTTCAAGTTCCTATAATGAGCAAGGACACAGTAACCCAACTTCACGTTCAACTGAATTTAATCATTCTCCTTATTGACCAGTGATCTTAAGAGTCCGACCCAAACCAGTGATGATCATCAGGGAAAATCCAGGCAAACAGCATATTAAATGGAAAAGGACTGTCATGCGATATGTTTGGTGTCACTTGTGTTCTGTTTCGTAATCAATATGCCTCTTTGTAATGCAGATGGTTTGCATTTATTGGATTAAATGAGGAAATATTTCAAATTTTTAGAGCATATGCAAGGCTGTAATGTGAGCCTTGCGTGTTTCACTGCTGTTGTCGATATTTTTTGTCATCAAACAACACGTTTTCCACTGCATAGCCCATCACAGCATGCCCTTTTGTAGTTTTTAGTTCACATTTGCATATATTTTCCCTGATGGAAGTTAAAACTGCAGATTAAGACCATGGTTTTCTACCAAAACTGCTTATTTAATTTAAAATTAGTTCAAAATTGTTGTTGATAATCATATAGGAAATACAGAAATAAAATGTATTAGACATGGACAGTCCATTAAATGATATGAAACAATACATACAAACAAGTCTATATTGTTTTGCAAAAAATTTATTTAATAAACAAGTGTCTAAAAGAACCCTTGTCCCCTTCATCTGGTACACTCAGGGACGTTTCTAGCCAATTTGATGCCCTAGGCGAAATCCCTATTGCCCCCCCACTGACAGAGCCCACTGATCTAATGGCGTTGTTGAGAGCTCCAAATGCAAACTTTGCATGCAACAATCAGGCAGCAATTGACAGCACTCTGATCTAGTGGCATACAGGCATCGTCAGATTGACAGTACTCTAGCCCAATAATGGGGGATCCAGTGGGGGCGGCAGTCATATTTCAGGGTGACCGTGCCACTCTTTATGGCGCTTTTCCACTGCGTGGTACGACTTGGCTCGGCACGGCTCAGTATGGCACGGCACGGTTCGGCTCGACACGGTTTGCTTTTCCACTGCAGTTCAGTACCGCTTTAGAGTGGGTGGGATTATTCACATGTGGTTATAGTTGCGCTGCCTCTACTACCACGACTCCTAAAAAAACTTTTGAATTCCGCATCGCCCCATCAAGCTCTCACTGGATCCGCTCCTCTGCTATCAACGAGAGGAACATCTGTACTTCCACAGCAGACAACAAAACTTTTTGGTTGTTAAAAAAGGTGCGCTTGTTCAAAACAGTTGCGTTTGATCCTTCGCTGGCTGTGCTGATTTAAATCTAGCTGTTCTTTTGTGTTTGTGTTGCAAGTGACGCAGGTAGTGACGATTATCTCCGGCCAATCCGTGATCAGCAGAGTTTACACGTCACGGTACGGTTCACTTATGGCGCTTTTCCACTGCATGGTACAGCACGGTACGGCTCGGTACGGTTCACTTTTGGGGGGTTTTCCACTGGGTACAGTACCTGGTACTTTTTTTAGTACCACTTAGGTTGGGGTTCCAATGTCACTTTTACACTGCGTGGAACAACATGGTTCACTTGGAACCTCAACCGAGGTGGTACTAAAAAAAGTACCAGGTACTGTACCCAGTGGAAAACCCCCCAAAAGTGAACCGTACCGAGCCGTACCGTGCTGTACCATGCAGTGGAAAAGCGCCATAAGTGAACCGTACCGTGACGTGTAAACTCTGCTGATCACGGATTGGCCGGAGATAATCGTCACTACCTGCGTCACTTGCAACACAAACACAAAAGAACAGCTAGATTTAAATCAGCACAGCCAGCGAAGGATCAAACGCAACTGTTTTGAACAAGCGCACCTTTTTTAACAACCAAAAAGTTTTGTTGTCTGCTGTGGAAGTACAGATGTTCCTCTCGTTGATAGCAGAGGAGCGGATCCAGTGAGAGCTTGATGGGGCGATGCGGAATTCAAAAGTTTTTTTAGGAGTCGTGGTAGTAGAGGCAGCGCAACTATAACCACATGTGAATAATCCCACCCACTCTAAAGCGGTACTGAACTGCAGTGGAAAAGCAAACCGTGTCGAGCCGAACCGTGCCGTGCCATACTGAGCCGTGCCGAGCCAAGTCGTACCACGCAGTGGAAAAG